GTGCCTGGAAGCCTGTGGAGGGCAGTTCTGCTCTGATGCTCACACTGTCACCCATAGTGGGCAGTCACTGCAGGGCATCAGGTAGTCAGAACAGTGGACTCACAAGTCACAATGTGATTGCAGTTAAGAATAAGAAGTGCCAAATTAGTGACAGGAAATGACTGGGGTGCCCTGGTGGTGAAATAGCTCAACACTTAACTGCTAACTAGAAGGTTGGCAGTTCATAGCCTCCTAGCTCAATGAGAGAAACATCTGGAGACTTTCTTCTCTAAAGATGACAGCCTTGCACCACCCATGGGGGCAGTTCTACTCTATCTGCAAGGTTGTTATGTTGTTGTTGTTGTTGTTAAGCACCACCAAGTCAACTACAACTTACAGAGACCCTACTGACCTTCTAAGTCCAAATCCAAGGCACCCAACAACAATAACAAAAAGAAATTGAAATTACCTTCTAAAAGGCTTTATGAATAAACAAATTCTAATAGAAACAAAACAGAACACCCATTCTAACAAGTCTTCAGGAGCTCTAGTGACCTCAAGGTAAGAAGCTGTGCTGCAATGTCAAAGGCACACTGTTTTAATCCACCAGCTGCTCCATGGAAGAAGGATGGGCACTCTCCTCCTGTGTGATTTACTGCCTCTGAACACCCACTAGTGGGTTGGTATGAGTTGGTTTTGACCCGACAGCACACAATAGCAGCAAGTTTTAAGCAATGAACTCAAAGCCACAGCAGAGAGAGAGGGTGGTGCCGAGCGAGCCAGGTGGTTCTGTGCTTGCTGTGCTGTGCCTGGGGTCACTGAGTCAGAGCTGACTCGATGGCACCTGACCACAACAGGCTAAAGCAGGTAGAATATTCTTTGTTGTTGTTGCTGTCGTTGTTGTTATGTGCCATCAAGTTGCTTGCAACTCATAGTGACCCTATGTACAACAGCCCTGAAACCTGCTCTATCCTGTGCCAACTTTACTGTCTCTGACACCTACCCTCATTACCCCAGTCACTACATCAATATATCTCATTGATGGTCTCCCTCTTTTTCTCTGTCCCTCCACCCTTTCAAGCATGACTTCCCTCTCCAAGGACTGGTCCCTCCTTGCAACATGCCCAAAGTATGTCAGATGAAGCTTCAGAATCCTTGCCTCCAAGGTTTCACCCTCTCCAGGGTGAACCTTTTGTTTTCCTAGCAGTCCATGGTAGTATATTCAACACTTTTCTCCAGCACCACAACTCAAAGACATCATCAATTCTCTATCATCCCTAGTCACTGTTCAGCTCTCTGATGCATAGCAAGCAATTGTGAAGACTATGACCTGGATCAGGCACACCTTAGTCTCCAGCCTGACGTCATTGCTCTTCAGTACTCTTGAGAGGTCCCTGACAGCTGACTTTCCCAATTCAATTTGTCTCTTGATTTCCTGGCTGCTGGTACCAAGAGTGCTGATTGTGGAGCCAAGCAAACTAGAGCTATTAACAATCTCAATCTCTTCACCATCTATCGTAATGCTGCCAATCATTCTTTAGTAATACTTTTACTGAAGGAGTTATGATAGAATAATCCACAGGGAGCTGCACTGCTAACTCTCTGGCAATTCACTCCACCAGCTAGCTGTACCTCAAGGGGAAAGATAGGACAATCTCCTCCTGTGTGGTTCATGTTAAGTCTGGGCAAAGGGGGCCAAAGAGAAGAATGAAGAATTCAGAATTCAAATGTTGATGGCTTACCTGCTGCTGATAAGAAGAGCAAACAGCCTTGCTTTTCTGGCTGAGCTAGCAGGTGGTTTGTAAATCAGAGTGGAATGTCCCCCACTAAGGACTCTGTTTATAAAAATCCTCCCCAGTAAGTTCACAGTGTGACTTTCCATTCTGCCTCTCCAGGATGAGGAACTCACCCAGGAGCTCCCTTTCCCCCCTTTAATAAGCATTAAGCTTTCTCTCATTCGCTCTGATTTCTTCTTTATGTCTGCTAACCTAACATATAGTGCCAAAACCCGGGAGATGAGTTAAGGTGCTGTGCCCCCATCTTAGGGTGAGTGTTGGCGCCCCTTATTCTCTCCTGAACCAGTCTGTGCAGTGTCAAGATGCTTGAATAGTAAGATAAATTTCTGCTGCTCTCCCTCTCCCTTGTGCTCTGTGTGGGCAGCTGCTGGCCAGATTTCTGCCCCTTTTGTCTTTCTGATCTCTGTATTTCTACTCACCTTCTCCTTTCCCGGTGATTCCTGACGCTGTCCCAATTGTTTGAAACACCTCAGAGCTAGTCAGACTAGTCTCCTGCTTCAAAGGCAACTGTGCCTTTGAGTCCAGACATTGTGAACTCCAATGGAAGACCGGATCTGGTCTCACTGAACCCCTGTTTCGCACACTGGTGCTGTTCTGCACACTGGTGCCCTGTATTCTGAGTCAATCACAGATCTGTGTCAGGGGCTTCACCTGAGAAACTTTTACTGAAAAGTTTCTTCTGGGCTATTGCTCTCTCAAGGATGTTCACATTATCCATAGCCTCTCTGTTCTGGAGACTCCCACTTTGCAGGGGATGTCCTGTAATCCCAGTTGTCCCCCCTGCAGATCCGAGACACATGAGAAATCAAATGTCCAAAATCCCAAGAGACAGTCCCTTAGGCTGCCTGCTTTCAGTCTTTCAACGAAGCACAGATAGACATTCTTCTGGTATTCTCTGCTTTCTTCCAAGATACATCTAACATTAGCTATAATATCCCTAGTACTACATCTTTAGTACCACAACCTCTCCTAAATCCAGCCTGCTCATCTGGTTCTCTGTTGACATTTTGTTCCAAACGTTTTTGGATATTTTCAGCAGAATCTTGCTTACATATGATATTGTTAGATAATTTACATTCATTACTCATCTTATTATGTATACACCACTGCTATCAATTTCCAGTATTTTATCCCCTAAACAGAAACTAAGGAGCCCTGGTGGGGTAGTGCGTTAAGGGTTAGGCTGCTCATACATAAAGTCAGCAATTCAAACCCAGCAGTCGCTCTGTGTGAGGAAGATGAAGCCATCTTTTCCCATTGATCTATACAGACCCTGGAAACCAGGTTGTGGGGGTCTCCATGAGTGGGCATCAGGTTGACAGCAGTGGGCTTTAAACTGAAAGTAGGAGTCCTGGTGGTGCAGTGATTATCAAGCAATGCTAATAAAAAGACTGATGGTTGGAGCGCTCCTCAGGAAAAAGGTGATGTGTCTGCTTCTGTAATGCTTTACAGCCCCAAGAACCAGAGGAGGTGGTTCCACTCTATCCTGCAGGGCCTCTGTGAGTCGGACTGGACTCAATGGCAGTGGGCTGGGTTTTTGTAAATAGAAACACTGTTAGGAGGCACCATTCCTTGGAAAAAAGACATCATGTTTGGAAAGGTGGAGAGTTAGTGAAAGAAAGAGGAAGACCCTCCACAAGGCAGACTGACACAGTGAGTGTAGCAGTGGACTCAAGTATATCAGAAATGGGGAGGGTGACTAGAGGTGCATTCAGATCTGTTATTCATAAGGTAGCTCAAGAGTCTTATTCGACTCAACAGCATCAAACAACAACATGCCATAAGAAGTAACTCCTGTTCTCCTTTCTGCCCAGGCCCTTGGTAAACCACTAATAAATTTAGTCTCTGCATTTTCCTAGCCTATCCTCGATGAGAAGGATTGGCCCAGTGACTGGGGTAATGTAGATGGGTGTGTCAGAGATGATAAGGTTGGCTCAGGATAGAGCAAGGTTCAGAGCTGTCATACATAGGGTTCCCATGAGTCACGAGCAACTTGACACATAACAACAACACCTGTCTCATTTAAGTGAGGCCGTTTAATATCAGTCCTTCTGTATCTGCTATTTCACTTAGCTTCATATTTTTGTGGTTCACCCATGTGGTAGTACATGTCAGAGAGAACTCTGCATCTCGGTTCATTTATCTGGAAAATAAGCTACCCATCTCTCTTTCTGTGAATAAAAACATTTCCTCACCCCAGTCAGAATAGCAAAATTTAACAGAACAGCAAGCAACAAATGCTGGCGAGGTTGTGGAGAAACTGGAACCCTTATTCACTGTTGGTGAGAGTGTAAAATGGTGCAACCACTGTGAAAAGCGGAATGGCGCTTTCTCAAAAAGTTACCATTTGACACAGCAATTCCACTACTGGGAATATACCCCAAAGAGACCATAACTGACATCCAAGCAGATATGTGCATACCCATGTTTATTGCAGGTTTGTTCACAATAGCAAGGAGTTGGAAACAACCTAAGTGCCCATCAACAAACGAATGGATAGAGAAGGTGTGGTATATTCACACAATGGAATACTGTGCTGCATTGAAAAACAAGGAACTCATGCAATATTATTAAAAATGGGTGACCCTGAAGGGCATTATGTGAGTGAAATATCTCAGTAACAAAAGGACAAATACTGCATGGTGCCACTGTTGTAAAACAGGACTGACCTTGGGGTTGAGGGGAGACTGAGAAAGATGGGTTCAATAATGTATACTGCATTGAAACAAATGAGGGAGGAAACTGTTTAAAAGGGATATGTGATTGGGTATTTTTGTCATGATGGGAGTCCAAAGCAAAGGCTGTATAGTGGAGTGGACCTGGGGGGGGAAGGGGGGAGGGATTGTAAAACACTGAAAGAATTTTTCATTTACTTTTCCAAGAGGGGAGTGTACTGGGGGGAGGGAGGGTTCGGAGGGGAGAAAAGTGCAACAAAGAATGACTGGAAATCCAAAGTCTCTGTGAATTTTAATTGAAATTAATAATAAAAATTTTTTTAAAAACCCATTTCTTGAAAAGGAGAGGCATAACAGCACTCTGATAGAATGCTGCAGTGTGCTCTCAATGGCGGAGAAAGAGAGAGTGAGGAAGTTTTATGAGGTCAGAGGTTAGGGACTCATGCTCACTCATCCAGAAGTACTCCCTTCCCTCCATCTGCATGTTTTCCATGGAAAACCATGCTCTGCTCGCAGAATGCTCAGTGATGCAGCCTTTTCTCTCCAACAGGTACCCTGTTTGCTTGCATTTCTGTCTTAGAGACTCTAGGTGGCGTCATTGCAGTTTCTTCATTTAATGGAATTTATTCAGCCACGGTAGCCTGGTACCCTGGCTTCACATTCCTGCTGTCTGCGGTTCTGATGCTGATTCCAGCGATCAGCCTGTGGTATGTACTGATTTCTAATCCTTTTATTCAAGGGCCCAAAGGATTACGTGAATTCTCAGACCCTTCGGGTAAAAGCACACAGACTTACATAAGTTTTGCCTGAGAATGAGCTTTTGTCAAAAACTTTCAAGACATGAAGACATCTGTCAGGAATTTAGAGACTTAGGAAGAGACTGACTAACTAGACATGGCTCAGAAACTCACTTAGATCGAAGCCCCCAAAAGTTACCCCTGCCACTTTAAGTGTGCAAATTAATAAAATCAACACAAAAAACCAAAAAAAATCAATTTCATTGCCATCAAGTTGGAATTCATAGCAACCTTCCTCTCACTGGGTTTCCACAACTGTAAACCTCGTAGGAGAAGAGAAAGCACATCTGTCTCCCTCAGAGCTGCTGATGGATTTGAACCACCAAAGCGGTGCAGTCTTTGGGTTAACAGCACATCCTCTACAGACTAGATCACCAGAGACCGATACATAAACATAAAAGAAATAATTCATTGATACCTTTGCCCTTCAGTAGCCAAACAGAACCAGCTAGATAGGTGATTTTTAAAGCACAGGGGCAAATACACTTAGCTGTGGTGCTGGCACGTGGAACTGAGAGCTTGCGCTCCTGCCTCTGGAAAGTATCCATGTCCAGGAGCACAGTGGTGGGAAGCTGTGGACAGGGTCACCATGCATACAGGAATCTTCTGCTGTCCCCTCAACAGTGGGAAGTATCTCTGTGAGTGAGAGAGAATAGTGAAGCCAGGACCTTGGATGACCTATGAGAACAGGCTTTCAGGATCTTGGACTAAAACCAAGCCAGCTGCTGCGAACTCAGCAGCAGCCCTGGCAACAGAGTGCTGTGCAGGCTTCTCAGTGGCTGCGATTTCAGAAGTAGATTGCCAGACCTTTCTTCCTAGGTACCTTTGGGAGATTCAAACTTCTGACTTTTCGGTTAGCAGCCAAGCACCCATGATTCCTTAAGCATTTTACCAAGATTAAGTTCTTACTTTAAAGGGCTCAACATCTTATTCATTGTAGGAGTTCAGTACTTAACTTGTCATTTGAATTCTGATACTTAGTTCTGTGTAAGACCCAGAGCAGTAGTATTTACAAATCCTCTGTAATCTTGATGAAAAGTTATTTTTATTACATAATGGTTTTAAAAAATAATTCTCACCAAAAGGAAGCCTGGTAGTTCAGTGAGTCACACGTGGGCTGCTAACCAAGGGCAGTGGTTTCAGATTGATCTAATAGGTACCAGCTGAGTTGGAAAAATGCAAAGTACAGGCAGGCTCTGAGCATGTGAAGAGATGTTGGCAGTGGCCTTGTTACTTAGCACTTTCATTTAGGGAAAGTGATTTATGCGCGTGAAGTCAAACCTTTAACAAATTCTCACAGTGTGTTTAAAACAATTCCTTTTAGATAACCTGAGAAAATATATAGGATACCTGAGAAACGGATGATAGATAGATAGATAGATATGCTCATTACAGCAAACTGAAAAATTAAAGGTGACCAAATTATTTAATAACAGAAAAATTGTAAAATTATCATAAACCAAAACAAAGAAACAAACTTACTGACTCCTAGTGCTTTCTAGGAAGAGCAGAGCTGCCCCATAGTTTCCAACTTGATCATTTTTAGGGACATTGACTGGCACATCTCTCTCCTGCACTATGGGTTAGAACTGTGGACCTTTTAGGAAGCAGCCAAAGTGCTTACCCACTGTGCCACCAGGCCAGGGACAGGATGATGATCGTTTACTGTGTGGCCTTCTCGTGGCTTTGACAGTGTCTTGTCTGCTTTTCCAGCTCTGCCATGTGCATCAGCCGGAACTCGGAGAGCTATACCCTTCTCATCCAGGAAGAATCGGGCCGAGAGACTTCCGACACGTGACGAATCATCATCTTTTCAAAACAAGTGAACGCACACGTCCAGTGCTGTGACCTCTAAAGATTATAAACTAATGCCGTAATTGATGCTTCATTGATACACACCACCTCTCTCCTCCATGGAGGCACCTAAGACAGCGCCCCTAGCGTTTGCCTTCTGTGCTGCACGTGGACCACGCCGGGGAAAATCATGGCCACATAGATGCACAGTGACTCTGTGGGACAGAACAGAACCACCTCAGGACTTCCCAGACAGTAAATCTTGGTGGAAACCGACTGCCACCCTGCTCTTCTGTGGAGCAGCTGGTGGGTTTGAACCTCTGACCTTATAATTCAGAGCCAAACGCTTAACCACTGTGCCGCCAAGTCTACTATCCAAGACTGAGAAGACCAAATCTCAAAATACTCTTCACATTTGGACTTACAAAAGAAATGGAAACCTTAAGATATAAGGAAGAGGGAGCTCTGGTGGCCTAGTGGCAAGAAGCTGTGCTGCAATCCCGAAGGCATGTGGTTCGAATCCACCATATGCTCCGCTGGAGAAGGAGGGGTAATCTCCTCCTGTACCAATCGGATCTGACTTGATTACACAAAAAGGGTGGGGGAGAGAGGTAAGGAAGAATTTGACAATTTGGTGGGTTCAAAAGCAATAATTTCTTGGATAGATTCCAGTTTCACACAGAAAAAGCAATAATCTCTCAGACATACTCTGATATCACAGAGAGCCTAAGGAGAGTTCTTTGCCCAAGTTTCTGCATCTGTGAAATGGGATGACTTCTCAGGTTTCCAGGGTATGACTAATGGATGAACAATGGATAGAACAATTATAAGACCATTGAAATATCTGTGAAACAATCTTAACCTGCACTTGAATCTTGAATCGTGCTTTGCTTTACAGATATGAAATCCTTAAAGGAAAGCACTTTAAAGAATGCACATGTCTGACCCTCCTAAGAGGTTTTATTAATAACAGACACGCCACATATGTAAGATGGTAATGTGTAACAGAAGTGACTGGGGTAAAAAAAATATAAGATTTTAAATAAAATTGTTTCTAAAGAAATGGTAAAGCTGCGTAACCAGCCCATCATTATGCACCATAATCAAGGTTGTTACTAATTCTGTTCCTATTGCTGAACAGCCACACTGCACACCAACCATGGTCTATTAGTCTCTCCCCATCCCGGAACGTGGAGAAGGGGATTTCTAAATATCATGTTCTCTCCACCTTGGAAAGCTTCAGTGGCTGTCCCACTCCAGAAGAACCCACTGTCCCCAGGCCCATCTGAATGCTGGTGACCCTCTTTTGGCTCTCTAGGCTGTAGATCTTTGGGATGTGGAGGGGAGAATGCCTCATCAAGCTAGCCACAATATGAACTCAATGCCAAGGACCAAGGGGACAAGGCAGAAACAGGCAGCAGTTGGTGCATCAGGCTGTCAGGAGTTGGTTGACTTGATGGCCGCTAGCACACTCTCTCTCTCTTCTCCTCTCTTCATAAATATAATCTACTGGTTACTAACTCAGCATCCAAAAACCTTCTTGTTGTTATTATATGCTGTCAAGTTGCCTGCGACTCATAGCGACTCTATGTATAACAGCTCTGAACCCTGCTCTAACCGGAGCCAACCTTATTGTCTCTGACACACGTACCCCCAAGACCCCAGTCACTGAATCAATCCATCTCATTGAGGATCTTTCTCTCTTGTGTTGTCTCTCCACCCTCCCAAGCATGACCTCCCTCTCCAAGGACTGGTCCCTCCTTGCAGCATGTCCAAAGTATGTACGAGGGAGCTTCAGAATCCTTGCCTCTAAGGAGCAGCCTGGTTTCACCCTCTCCAGGCTGAAACTAACAAAAACCTAGACAAAAAGAATAAATAAAACCAAACTCCATTGACTTTGAGTCGATTCCAACCAGGATACTAATCAAGCAAACAAAAAATAGACCTGGGTCTCACTGGGACAGTTGAGAACAAAAGAGTCTTCCAAGACCCTTGCCCTGAGACGCTAAGTCTTGAGCCTAACCTAGCCTCTGAGGTTACCTTTTTTTTTCAATTTTATTATTTTTTTGTGTGTGTACCATCAAAGCGGATCTGACTAGTACAGCAGGAGTTTGTCCCTCCTTCTCCAGCACAGCATCTGGTGAATCAGAACCTCGCACTTCTGGGATTGCAGTGCAGCTTCCTGCCACTAGGCCACCAGAGCTCACCCGAGGTTACCTTTTTAATGAAATAACTGATAGGTTCACTTTTAAATTAATATCATTCTTGGGGGAAATAAAGACTAGGAAGCCCTAGACTCAGTATTTTCTAAATATTCTAGCTCTGGTGGCCTAGTGGTAAGGTGCTGCACTGCAATCCTGAAGGCATACGGTTCAAATCCACCAATTACTCTACAAGGGAAAGATGTGCAGCTCCTCCCTTTAAATTAAAAAAACTGCCTCTGAAAACCCGCTGGAGGGTCATCCATGGGTTGGTTCTGACTTGATGGTACACAACAAGAACAAGAATTGTGCTTGAGGTGAATGTTTACACAGCAGGAGAGCTCCCTCACATGTGACACTGGTTGCTGCTCTTGCAATGTGTCAGCACACTCCACATCCTCCAACACTACACCCGTGCTTCCACCTCTCCCGCCTTCTTGCCCCTCCTTGATACCTCCCCTTTGCTTTCTGGTACATGTGGCCCATTGGTCTCCTATAGGCGACTGTTCTAAAGCAGCAGGTTTGGAACCCACTTCCCCGATGAGTGCCTCTCAACTCTTAACAGCACATTAGCATGACTAGAGATGTGGGCCAAAGAGGGCTAACTTCATATCAATAAAGTTAGTACAAAAAATAAGTTTTATTCTAAGCAAATCTCAGCCTCAGGTTGCTAAACAGAATCGGCTGGGGAGCCTCTAAAAAAGGTCAATGCACAGACGTAAGTGCAATTAAATCAGAATCTGTATACAGAATCTGCACAAATCTAGACATCAGGGTATTATGAAAGTTCCAGAGGATTTCTGGCGCCACAGTGCATAACATATCAGGCTGCTGACTTAAAGGTTGGCAGTTCAAATCCACCAGCTTCTCCTCAGATGACAGATGAACCATCTCCTTTCATATTTAATCTTGGAAACCTAGTGGGAGATTGCCAAGAGTCCGAATTGATGACAGTAGGATTTGGGGGCAAAGGTAATTAAATCATGTGGACAGGATTGAGAAATACTCCTCTGGATAGCTCCCCATGTATTGTCAACACAAAGTCACACAGTTTGAATCCACCAGCTGCTCTATGGGAGAAAGATGGGCAATACTGCCTCTGAAAATCTGCTGGAGGGTCAGTTACAGGTTGGTTGCAACTGAACAGTAACTAACAAAAATCTCCAGACAAGGATGGTTCTATAAAGAGGGAGATACTAGCTTTTAGGTTTTTCAGGTTCTATCTGACACAAAGCAGCTGGAGCTAAGGTGAGCATGTTGGGACTGCCTGTGTCCCAACCAAACTTGCAAGACAGGCAGCACATTGCATTTAGGCGGTAGCTTGCCAAACTTTGCTCTGCAAAGTCCTTAGTTGCCGGAGTTGATGTTGACTCGTGCAGCCCCGCAACAAGAGAAGGAAATGTCTCCTGGTCCTGCACCATGTTCACAGTCATGCTCAAGGATATCCTTGTTGCCATGACGTATCCTGAGAGCCTTCCAACCTAGGACTCACCTTCCAGCTCCATGTACTGTGATCATGAGGTTTTCACTGGATAATCTTGGAAGGTGGGTCACTAGGCCCCTCTTCCTTGTCTTTCCTCGTCTGGAAGCTCTGCTGAAACCTTTTCACCAGCACAGCAACACGCCTCTGACATACCAAGCATGCAGAGCATACGGGCATGCACACGGGAAGCCCTACAGAGTTATCACGGGAAAACAAAAGCTACTAGAATAAGCGAGTTTTGCAAAGCTGCGGAGTTATTATACAAGGATCTGTTACACGTCTACATACTAGCAACAAACAGCGGGATAACTAGAATGAAAAGCAACACTATTTAACAATAAAACCAGAAACCAAATCCATTGCCATCAGGCCAATTCTTGACCACAGGGAGCTGTGATCTGTGCTGAAGCAGACTGCCATACCTTTCTCCCACAGAACAGCTAGTGAGTGCACGCCAAGGAGATTTATCAGTTAGCAGTCGAGGGTTTGAACTACCTTTGCCTTGTCGTTCTGTACTGTCAAGTCAGAACCGACTCACAGCTGACCCTCCGTCGGGTTTATGAGTCTGAACCAACTCAGAGCTGACCTCTCCATCACATTTATGAGTCCAAACCAACTCATCAATGAGTTTAGCAAGGCTGTAGAGGTATTATACAAGGATCAGTTACATGAATGAAAATCAATACTATTTAACATTAAAACCAGAGGCCAGCAAGGGAGGAGATCCTTTATCTTTTTCCCATGGTGCAGCTGGTGGATTTGAACCACCTGCTTTTGGGTTGGCAGCTCACTTCCTTACCACTAAGCCACCAGAGCTCCCTACAATGCCATGAGGGCTCCTGATTTTAACAGTACAAAGTGTGTTTACACACACACACACACACACACACACACACACACAAGTTAAATATAAATATGTGCAAGATCTATACATTGATATTACCTAAAAACAGTGAAAGAAATTGAAGACTTAAATAAATGAAGCAAAGTTGATGTTCATAGACTAAAATAACCCTGACCACGGTCTGTGTTAAGACATAAAAGTTCTAAAATGTTAAGATATAAAAGCTGACACAAACTTGTGGAAGAAAATCTCCAAGTAGATTAAATGGTCTTCATCAGCATTTTTTTAAAAAATTCTGTTTTAAACACCCCAATCAGAAAATGAAAAGATAAGCCAGGACTGGAGAAAATGTTTGGGATACATGCATATTCAGATAAAAGGACTCTTAATATCTCAGTAAGACAAAATCCACAGCCATTGGGTCGGTTCCAAATCCTGGCAACCCCTCATTGGGGCTTTTCCGAGTCTGTAAATCT